TTTATATTTATGACAACTTGCAATGCCAGATTGCTACCAGTTAGTTGGGAATCATTCTGGAGTCAGGAAATCCTCTGCAGGGACTATTGTCATGCAAATGTGCAGGGCATTTAATCGCCTCCAGCTATATAGTACTGAGACTCTTGACAACCTACAGGACATAGTGAATGCATTTGCTGCAGTGGGGTTCCCGAATTTCAGTGGAGTGATAGATGGCACGCATATCCCTATTTTGGCACCAGATCACTTTGCTACTGCGTATATCAGCAGAAAGAGCTATGTTTCTATGGTTATGTAAGTGGTGGAGCACTGGGGATGCTTCACTGACATCAGTGTGGGTTGGTTGGGGAAGGTACATGATGTTTGCATCTTTAAGAATGCGGGACTGTTCAGAAAGCTACAAGCAGGGATTTTCTTTCCTGACCAGTGGAAATGATGAAATGCCAATAGTGATCCAAGGATACTTGGCCTATCCCTTGCTCCCCTGGCTCATGAAGCCGTACACAAGTCTCCACAACATCACCAAGAAACAATTCAGTTACCAGCTCACCAGGTGCAGAATGACAATTGAATGTGCTTTTGGTCATTTGAGGGGATGTTGGTGTTGTTTACTCACAAGATTGGACCTCAGTGAGAAAAATATCCCAATGGTTATAGCTGCTTGCTGCATCCTGCATAATATATGTGAAGCAAAGGGGAGAAAGTTTCCACTGAGGCAGAGATAGAGCAGCTGAATTTAAACAGCCTGATACAAAGGCTATTAGAAGAGCTTGACCCAGAGCCATACTGCTCAGGGAGGCTTTGAAAGACCATTTTAACAGTGAGCCAGAGTACTGTGTTGTGTGCTCTACCTGGCCCTGCTCTTTTGTGGCCTGGAAGGAATCCTGTGGTGATTGCTGTACGTGTAGGACTACAGCACTGTCAAGGCACCTCTTAATTTTGTTTGTGAATGATCCAGTGAGCTGTGTGGTGCTGTGGAACCCAAGAATCAGTTGCTTTCAGAACTGCTGAACACTTGGCAGCATGTGTAGTAAAGATGAGCTAAGTTCCAAATAATAGAATTTTATTCTGTAACAAAACCCATTCCAAAAAAATTACCTGTGCAATTTTAAAACAAATACATTAAAAACTTAATAAATTACAAGAACAGAACTTTTGAAGGGGGAAGAACATCCATGTCCATTTCAACTACACTTATGCCAACTGTGGCTTACGAGGTCAGTGAATGTGAAGCTGTGGTTGTCTTTAATGTCCCCTAGGGTGGAGTGGCAGGGGTCGTACAGCGACCTCTGTTGCCATGTGGGATGTTGGAGGTGGAGTTATATGGGGGTCCTGATATAGAATTCTTCATGTGCTGCAGAGGGAGGGGAGCATGTGATTGTTGAACCTGCAGGTCCACCAGACTCTTCAGCATCTGTGTTTGCTGCCTGAGAAGCCTCATTATGTCCTTGTGCATCTGCTGGGACTCCTGGTCCTTTCTCCTTTCCAACGTTTCCTTCTCAAGGCCGTTTGCAATGTTGATCCTCCAGGCCCTATGCACATGGTCCAATGCAGCACTGGCTGGTAGGATCTCACTGAACATGTCCTCCCGAGTCCTCTTCGTTCTCCTCTTTATCTGACTCAGGTGTTCCACTTGAAGGGGGAGACCCTGAAGATACAGATGGCAGCAGATACAGATAAAACACACAGAGATACCATTGTCAGCCTAGTCACTATGGCAAGCAAAACTTACAATGCTGAACTCACTCCTATTATTCCCCTAAAGTTTTTGGCACTGCCTTCTCACTTCTGCTTGGGATTGCTTGTGCACAGCATGAGTCACAGCAACAGCCATGACAGAGCATAGCCTGCTGCGGGTTGGAGAAATGAAAAGGGAGTTGCTCCGTTGCATGACTCTAGTAGCATAGGCAATGGCACTGAATACTGGCACCGTTTTCCACAGGTGATGGTGACTTTAGCTGATATCTCACTCCTGAGCGTGGTAACAAAGGCAGAAAGAACACAGCTGCTGCTGGCATCCCGAAGTCACCCAGCCTCATATGCTGCTCGCCTGTTTACTACAATGATGCCTGCTGAAATTATCTCTGAATGGCATGGGAATGCGTCCTCCTGCAGAGGATGAAATGAGGCAGCCCTCCCTAGAAACCTTTGGCAGAGGGTTGCAGAGCACGTCCAGGAAAGTTCCGTTGAGATGTCTCAAGAGGATTCAAGGGACATGCCAGTGCCCATGAACTATTCCACATGCCCTCCTCCCCCAGCCTAACTCTAGAGAGGAAGGAAAAGCAGATAACCATGTTGCCTTTGTTGTTTGCATCCTTGTCTCTTCTAGCACGAGAAAATTAATGAAAAATCAAAAGATGTGTCCTGCTATTTTGGGGGGTGCCATCCCTGTAATTGGAAATGCATCTACACGCTTGCTTGTGGTTCCTTCCCCTGCTTCGAGCTTGCCTGTGCTTGACCGGCAGGGCTGGCTGGACTGTGATGGTGTCAGAAAGAGGTCCTGGCTCACTGTGCAGCTGGCTTCCCAGTCAGCTATCCCCTGTACTCCTCCTCTTCCACGTCCACCACCTCCTCCTTCTCACTGTTTGCAGCAGGGAGCCCTGGTGCTGTTGGGGGGTGAGGGTTTCCGCCGAATATGACATGCACTTCTTTGTAAAAGTGGCAGGTTTGCAGCTTGGCCTGGGATCGATTGTTGGCCTCCCTGGCCTTCGGGAACGCCTGCTGCAGCTTCTTGGCTTTCATGGGGCACTGCTGCTGGTTCCTGTTGTATTCCTTCTGCATCCCCTGATCAATCTGCTTGTAGATGTCGACGTTTCTACAGCTGATTCAGAGCCGTACCTGAGCAGCCTCTTCTACTCACTAAGCCAGACAATCAGGAAAAAGGAATTTCAAAAATTTGGGGGGCTTTAAAGGGGAGGAGGGACTTCTCATCTCAGTGACCCTTGGGCAATGGAGCTCACGATGATGACGAGAGTGGTCAGTGTGGGGCATTGTGGGACAGCTGCTGGAGGACAGTTAGGCTTGACATAAGTAATGCAGTGTCTACATTCACATTGCAATGACCTAAGTACATGGAGCATGGCTCTGTGCTGCTTGAGGAGGTGGTGTTACTGTGTTGGCGTAACGGGGCGCTTACGTTGGTGAGAGACCAATTTAAGCGTAGACACATGCACAACTCGGTCGACGTAAGCTGCCTTGCATTGACCTAACTTTGTAGTGTAGATGAGGTCTCATTGTTTCTTCCTGGCCATTCTGGGCAGATTTGAGTGTTTGGAAAACATTTTCCTTCTTTATATCATTCATTCTCTCCTGCTGGCATGTCAAAAAGGAGAGACAGAAACATTGTTTTAGGGAGATCAAAAGGGTTCATCTTTCATTAAACAAAGATGAAAATAGACAGTTGCCACGTTTCACAGTGAATCACATTTCCTCTCAAGACAAAGAGGCCATAACCATTATCAGGGATCCTCCATAAAACTGATGCCAGTTTGGGCAGCATGGCCTGCTTGTGGGTTCCATCAACCGCACTCCGAGGCTTGCTTCTTTAGAGGCTATATCACTGTGATAGGGTATACAAACCCCACACTGGGCCTTAAGGGGTTAAAAGGCAATACTGGGCCCAAGTAGCCATGCCCCCTACAGGGTCGCTGGTCATGCAGCAGGTTAAAAGGAGCTTAGAGGCCCAGGCAAGGGGTGGTGGACAGGCTCAGAGAGAGAAAAATCCTTCTTCAGGAAGCCCGGGTAAGGGCCCCAGGCAGTGCCTTCTCCAACCACACCAACGCCTTTGAAGCCGGCAGGTCTTTCATGGCCATGCTCATTTGGACTTTGTTTGTGAAGCTATTGACTGTTTGGACTATAGGGGCCACCCCCTACACACACTAAACTGAAGGAGTAGATAGGTAGGAAGTAGCCCAGGACAGCAGATTTAGGCTCTCCACGGGGAGGAACATGCCAATATTACTTCTCTGAGGTCCCTGGGCTGGGACTCAGTGGAGAAGAAGGGAAGAGGCCTGGGTCCTTCTACCACTCCCCACTTAAGGGCAAAGACCCAGACTCAGTGGGAAGGCCAAAACATTCCTAGCCTGGGATCTGGAACCAGGCACTGCTACTGCACCCCTCCCCCCTGCCCACCGACAGAGGGACAAGGGGTTGGGAGTAAGTTGCACTGACCACCCAGCCCTCTGAGCACGCATTTGAGGTTCCACTTGGTGCAGTGACAGGACCATCTGTGAGATGTGTCCCTCTAAAACCCCCTAATCTGGGTATATCTGAGAGTGAGCCACCTCTGAGTCTCCCAGCTGTAGGAAGGTGAAAGCAATGCCACTCGTTGTATCATTATCCCTCCTGCTGTGGCCAGGACTACATAGAAGCAGGAGGAAAAATTTGATATAAGAAATAACATGGAGGAAACACTGAGGGATGTACACGGCCATCCTGATGAACCAGTTAAAGGAAATGGACAAAGGACTGCAGGAAAACCCCAATCCATCTCTTGCAAATAGCTTCAAGGTTACAATGCATATGCCCAACTAATGGAAGCTTTTCAAGAGGATGCACTAAAAATTAACCTATCCTAGAAAAAACTCACCTATAAACCAAACACAAGTGGAAGCTGGGAGTCTCCACCTCTTTGTTCTCTCTACCAGAGTAGAACAGCTTGCTGAGGCACCATAGGAGCCCAACCAGTGGAAGCTTTTCAAGAGGATGCACTGAATTATATCTCGTAGGTATTCTAGCCATACCCCTACCCTAGCCAGTACTGTGTGCTTCTGGGACTGCATTTGAGGCACCCAGGTGGGGTGAGGGTTGTGGGCACCTTGTGTCATGTGGTTTATCACTGAATGAGGGCTGGAAACATTATATACATTCCACAGTGTAATAGAAAAGTCTTTCATGACATTACTTAACCTCAGATAGCAAATTACCGTAGTGTCATTTAATTAATTGCAGTACTTGATGGCTGAAATAATTGCTATGCCCTTGTATCTTCTTCTTTTCAGAACATAGTCAATTACAGCTTTAAAAGATTTCTGCCTTAACTGAGAGCACACGTAGTTACTGCAAGGAAGGACTGACAGCAGTTTGTTAAACACCACTGGGTCTTCTTACAAGTAAGTCCTCTTATTTACTTTTCTTTCTCTCCCTCCATTCCTGACTTTTTCTCTTCTCTTTTTTCTGGCACTGACTGCCACCATGATTGGAGCTGGGTGAAATTTTTCAGCCAAAACTTTGTTTCAGCAAAAAATGCAGATCTGACAGCAATACTAAATCATTTTGTGAATTCATGTTGATTTCACCGAATTGTTCATTTAGGGAAAAAACTTTAAAAACAAAAATTGAAATGTCAATTTTTCATTTTGAAATGATTTTTTCAGTGTGACATTTCCTTTAATTTTATTTTTAAAAATTCAAAAATATTGAAAAGTGCTTAAAATTGAAATGGAACTTTTCACTTTGGTTCAAATGAAGTGTTTGCCCAAAACAATTATTTTTCAACTTTTCTATCCACCAAAAATTTCAAAAAAATTCTTTTTGGTCCAACTCAAAACAAATTTTCTTCGACTTCTCAAAATTGCTAGTGAATTGAAAAATCCATTATTTGCTGACCTGCCAAGAGAAAAGAGAGCAATTCACTGTGGCACTGAGACCAAAATAGCTCCACAGAATGATTGGTGATGAATGATTTAAAAGAATTCAAAATTTCCTGCCTCCCAAGTAGACTGAGGCTTGTCTACACTACAGTTGAGTCAGGCTACTGTGTTATAATATGATTGTCTCAAGATCCAGTTACAAAATGGTTCCAATTTGTAGTATCAATGCGACCTTAACCATGACCTTGGACATATCCATATGCAGTGATATATTAATTGTAACTATAGTGTAGGTAGGTCAATAGAGCATCCTTCACGGTGAACTTTTTTGGCCATGGGATCCTAAATTTTGTTCAGACTTGAGCCACAGTGACCCCAGAAAGAGGTACTTTCCTGGGTCAGAGTGCTGCAGACTAAACTGCCCCTCTGTTCACAAAAGAAGTCCCTGGAACTCACAAGTTTTGAAAACAGAAGAATCAATTCATTATAGAAAAGACAGTAACAATAATTCCTCACTAAGCCACTAGGTAAGGGGCTCTTTGCTCTCTGGGATTCCTTGTGTTGCTGAGTTACCTCTCTTTCTGCAGTGCATTAGACCTGACATTCAACTGCAACTACAGTGTTCTGAGCATCATTTGATGGTCCAATTCAGAGCCCCTCTTGACTGTCTCTTCACTGGCTAGTGACAAAAGTGGTGTCGTGTTTTCAGCTCCCTCCACACCTGAACAGCCCTGATGCAACTATCTTGCTTAGCCCTCAGGCTGGTCTGCATTCAGTTTTTTCATCAATCTAACTAAATCCAGAGAAAAAAATCTAGGTAAATTGCTGCAATCCCCTAGCATGAATGCAGTTATAGCAGCCTAAAGGTGTTTATATTATTATAGCTAGTTTCAGTAATAATAGTTTGTATTGTGGTAGCACCTAGGAGCTTTAATCATGGACCAGGGCCCCATTGTGCTCAGTCCTGTACAAACACACAACAAAAGATGGTTCCTGACCCCAAAGGCAAAGCAGTACAAAAACCAAGTAGACAAGCCCTCAAAGATTTTGGGACTCTGCCACCTCTTTCTCCACTTAGCCTCTTTATGGACAGCACTGCCTCTGTCACAGGTAAACCAGAGAATAGGCAGAGGACCTTACCAGGTCCTTGACTCTGATCCTAAGGGAAGAGCAAACCGTCTGTAGGACCAGCTTTTTAAGGGACCCCAAGTCCAGCAAAGAGCATCACAAATGAGACACATCCTGTGATGCTTTCTCTTAGAAATGTAGGGGGCCTTAGGAAGGTTGAGGAAGGGAGTAAACGATTTGGGAGGCTTTACTGGATTTAGGGAGAGGAAGTTGGGAGACTCAGTAACTTGCTGGGAATAAGAATGTGAGAGATGGGAAGACCTATGTAGGATTAGAGAGGGAGTTAGGTGTTAAAGGGAAAAGATAGGCTCATATAAAGATGAAAGGAGAAGGATCTTGTTGGATTGAAGGAGGGAGAGAGGATCCTCAGAATGTTTAATAAGCTTGGCGTCAAACAAACATTGCGTTTGCTGAGGATTTATCTGAACTGAGGTGAACTTCAGAACTTTTTGAAGTTCCCCCATCATTAAAGAGCTAGGTTTATATGAAACTACATTTGTAAGAGACAAAATTATTTATAAACAACACAGACGACTCTCCCTTGCTTCCCAACTGAGGAAATATATTTTTAAAAAAATCCATCCCCAGGGTCTCTTCCACCTATATAGCAATGAAGATTTTCATATCACTACAGTGCACCTTAGGCTAAGGTATCTCTCTTTGTGGCTATATATAACTACAGTAGATATGTTATTTGCTTCTTGTTGTAATATGTTCCTCTTCAGAGCATGCTATGGGTGTTGTGAAACTCAGTACATGGCTTAATACTTCTTCAGCTTTGGCAATCCTATTTGATCATACTGTGCTGATAAGCAGTGAAATAGTAGGACATTATCACATTTTGCCAGTGCACATTTCTGGAATAAAGATGCATGAAATAAATTGAATTTAAGCCATATAATAGAGCTACTAGAGTAGCAAAAAGTTTTACCTGCTATAATTAATTAAGCTTAGCTACTTCTTTCCAAAAAATGAGACTTCATAAGAATACACATATAAAATTTCATATGTAGTGAGATAAGAAAATTAGATTTAAAGAATATTATTATTTATCATTTATATAGCTATTATTGTTTAACAGTGCAATTAATTGCGATTAATTTTTTTAATCGCTTGACAGCCCTAATACAAATTATAATGCAAATGCAACAGTGTTCATATTTCTCTAAGACTTGCTGCCACTAAAACTATTGCTGAAAGATCTAGTTGTAGGGTGTTAGTACCCATTGCCCAAGGTCATTTGACAAACTTAGCTTAGCATTAAATAGAAACAAAAAGGGAGAAAAAACTGTGATTTTGAGAGTGATCAGGCCTTTATTTGTAATGGGGAAAGAAAAAGACAGGTGAGCAGGAATGAAAATATGATGAATTTCAATGTTTTAATTTTGTTGGGGGAATTCCAGAGGTAAGCTATTTGAGACACGGCCACACAGAGGAAATATTGTGGTTTGTTTTGTTTGTTTTTTTTAAAGAAGACAAGAGACAAGGTTTCAGGTATCTTTGGTATTGTTAGTGATTGGTGACTACTGAGGGTTCAGAAGCCTGCCTTCAAAATTCAGAGTCCAGATTTACATGATATGGACAATACTGTATATTTTATTTAAAGTAACTTAACAATGCTAATATACATTTTCCTAGAAATACATTTGGTAAAAGAGGGTGCTCTGTGGCACCTTAATATAAAAGCTTATTCAATCAAATGTATGTTTCTATTGTTGACTTTTCCCCCAATTGGATTTATACTAATACTTTGATAGTTTTCTTAGGCTTCCAGCCATCATCTTAGCAAGCTTCTCCCTGAATAAAGCCTAAGTGCATTGTAGTGTGTGTTAAAGAAAAAGGGGGGAAAGTTAGATGCACTCCAGAAAATCCGTAAATAAAAGGTGTTAACCTGTGATCCAGTAACAAGTGCAATTGTATAGACAAAGGTTTCTGATCCTAATCATCCTTTCTTCTAGTTGTAGGAGTTGCTAATTGGCGTATGCTTCTGAATAAATAGGCATTCATTTGATGTTGGCAGTGGGTGTTTGTCCAAATCTGATAAACCACTCATTGCCTGAGCTGATAAGAATAACAAATAAAGGCCCTGATCCTCAGAGATGCTGAGCACCTGCAATCAAGCCTGCATTTCACTGACAGCTTTGAGTAAAACAGTGGGCCAGATTGGGGCTAGTTCCCATTTGGGAGCAGGGCAGAGTTGCTGTACCCTGGGTAGCTCCAGGAGGGTAGTCCATGAAGTACATGGGAGAGCACAAGCTGCACCATCCCTTTGGATGCTGCAGTCTGCTCTCTCGCGCTCACACTCTCTCCCTCCGCATATGCTTTGAAGTGACTTGGCCCTTAGAAGCTCCCTCAAGCACAGACATTGTTGCTAGGGGAAGATTCCTTGCACCTTCTCCCTTCATTTCCTCCTAGCTAGGGCCAGACACAGTTTGGGTTTGAGTAAGGACTTCAATTTTTTGACTGTTTCTTTCAGTGGGAACTGTGAATGTTCAGCACCTGTCCGGACCAAGCTCATAATGGGCATTAGAAACTGGGCGGGCTTGCTGTGTAGGATCAGTCTGTCTAGCATATATATAGTAGGCAAATGCTGTACTTTTTAAAATCTTAAAAGAATAGAAGAAACTGGGCTCCTCTAAAAGGTGCCCTGCTGATTTTTGAGTTTCCCAAGCTCCCTCTGAGTCCAAGGCTTGTCCCAGATAGGGCTGCTAGCCACACAAGTGCCAGGTCAAAGCAAACTCAGAGGGGGGACTCATACTACTCAGGTGGTGTAACTGTTGTGATTTCCTGAAGGCATGTGGTTCCCTGGAGGCTCCTGCTGGGGCACTGGGGCTCTGCATAACTCCAGTGAATGGCTGTAAATTCAAATGAGCCCAAAGCACTTGAGCTGTGGAGTCACTGTTCAATGACGGTCTAAGGAGAAAGGTAGCACTTCCAAAGCATGGCTGTCACGCTCTGATATAACATGGACCATAGAAACCACTCTGACTGAATGCTAAGTGCAGTCTATTAGAGCTCAAATGGACTAAAAAACGCTTGACCAGCCTATTGTGCATTTAAAAGGCAATCGCACAAACATTATTTGCTTGTCTTATCAGGCTCTGAGTGGGCAAACAGCCAAAAGTACAGTTCATTAGGGAAGAACCAAACCATTTCATTATCCTGCAAAAACTGACAGTCTTGGTTTATTTATTTATTTGGGCCAGTGGCTGAAAGTTCTCCTCTCTTGGGATATTTCAGGAGAGGAGCTCAGCATCTCTTCGCTGACCATTTTGCCTTTCCTTGGGCTAAGGGAATGGAAAAAGGAAGCAAAAATAAAATATCAAAGCAAAATTACTACAGTATCTTAATTTTTCTGGTTAAAAAAGATTATTTCAGTGTCAATGCTTTAA